GGGCTTCCAGTGTTAGACTGGGGTCCAGGAGCACCCCCAAGCTGCGGACCCTGTCTCTTAGAGGGAGTGTAACCCCATTCAGGGCAGGGAGATGGCCCTCCAGCCTGTCTGGCGAAGCACCCACTAACAGCACTTCCGTCTTGTCTGGATTGAGTTTCAATTTATTGACCCTCATCCAGTCCATTATCAGGTCCAGACACGAGTTCAGCACAGAAACCACCTCAACTGGATTGGTGGAAAATGAGAGGTAGAGCTGAGTGTCATCAGCATATTGCTGACTCCTCAGCCCAAACCTCCTGATGACCTCTCCCAGTGGTTTCATGTAGATGTTAAACAGCATGGGGGACAGTATTGAGCCCTGAGGAACCCCATGACATGAATGCCATGGGGCAGAGCAACTGTCCCCCAGCACCACCCTCTGGACACGGTCCGCCAGGAAGGAGCGGAACCACCGTAAAGCAGTGCCCCCAACTCCCAACCCAGCCAGCCTATCCAGAAGGACACCATGGTCGATGGTGTCGAAAGCCGCTGAGAGGTCCAGGAGTATCAACAGGGTCATACTCCCCCTGTCTCTCTCCCGGCAAAGAGGTTGGCCCCACTGAATGTATATCCTGGAATATAAGAGGAAATTCCCACTCATGAATTTGACCTGTCTGCGGGCTCAATGAGTCTGCTATATGACTGTCCTCCCCTGCAACATGGACAGAGTTCCAAGAGCAACATTCACATAGAAAGACTGCTAGATACAGAAGTATCATGGAATAGGTGCATTCAGTACTGTTAGCATCTCCAAAACATTGATATATACAGTAGGCTTCTTTCTGTTTTGGACCATTCTCTGCAAATGTTCTTGCTCCAGCAACAAGCACCCTATCCTAACAGACTGCCATCTGTCATTACAAGACTAATGGCTGAGCCTGTTTGAATAGCTTCCCCATCAACAGGTTCTCTTTATCTGACTACCAAAGAAGTAGCTCCACTAGTTCTGGAGTTACTCACAGCTTCTTCCAATTACTGTCCCTCACAGAGGAAAGAAAACATGTCTGCAAGGTTGTTCTTCCTAACGTTTTGCCAGTCTCTGTGGCCGGAATCTTCAGAGGACAGGAATAGCACAATACTTTTTATTTTTGAGCTAAGAATGTATGAAGCTGTGTAATATCTCTGTTGTAGTGCTTTTTAAGGCCTTGGGTTTAAATGAAGATAAATATATTTGAATATTTGAATTAGGGTTGTCTTCACTAGCAACTGCAATCATGCAGAGCCAGTATATAAAATTATAAATACAGATGCTATAATAAAAATGTTTCTTGATATAATTTACTATAAACATGCTTTATAAAGAGGAATTTCAAAATCACAAAGTTAATTTTAAGAATTATATTATTGCTTTCTAACTTCCTCTGCTCAGCATTTCAGTTTTTATCAAGATTTATTTTTCTATAGGTTTATCATGATTAATGGAAAAACTTCTGTTGCTTAGTGTAGTAAATCACACTAGAACTGGTCCACTGAATCCATCGGGATTTGGCGAGTCAATTCTTTGTAGGTTCCATTGATTCAAATGGGCCTACTCTAACTGCAACTTATTTTAGCACAGTAAGTTGCAGTTAAGATTAGGTCCATTTGAATCACTGAAACTTATGGAAGAGTCAACTCAACAAATAGCCACTGATTCAGTGGGCCTATTCTATAGTGCAATTACTATGCTAAGCAATAGGAATTTAGTCAATGAGTTCCATTGATCTAAGTATAGCTAAATCTAGATCCAAACCTCTGTCTGCAATAATCATGACCATGCACAACTGGCAGGAAGAAGCTCTGAAAACTCCTCTCCCAGTGGGAGTATGTCATATCTACATTAGATATTCAAAAATGAGCACTATACCTATTAAACAGCTAGCTATCAGCATTTGGGTATAACTCCTGCATTCTTTGTGTTCACATTAAATTAAACTACTCCTAATCAACCGAAGTGCTGAATGCCTTTGATAAGAACTATTGATTTGAAGGCATGACAACAAAGTAGAATCTGTCATAGTAGAATATATTGCCTGGCAAACATTCATTTTGTGTTCTCACAAGCTTGTCTCACTTGTGTTTTCTACCACTGTAGAAAATTTTCTACAGACTTCAATGGCACTAATCACATACCTGAACATGATGGACTTGCAGCATAGAAAAGAGTTTGTTGAAGCATGCACTTAACATTGGTATGGAGGAATGCTGGATAATAAACTGGTTGTTCTGATTTGGTGCATGCAGCCCTCGTAGTAACAGATCATCTGTTCCACTTGGAGACTGAGTTACTGAAAAACAAAACCAGACAAGAAGATATCACTTATGTCTCTCACTGAATATAATGATCTACATTGTTGCATCATATATAAATCATCAGTTCTCCCAAACTCAATTGAATAAAGTGAGCAGAAAGAACAAAATAGTATCAAACAGTGTAAGCAATCTAAATTTGTTATTAATGGCAATAGTCTAGGAAATTAACATGTCATTTGTGTAATTTACTACATTAAGAAGAAACAGTGCTATTGCAAGCACTGTAGTTTGGACCTTTGTTCTGTTCAGTTTTTCTTATATAAATAAAAATTTGCAGAAATTGAATGGCTGTTCAAAACAAAAACAAACATCAAGAAAGTGGCAAAAGGGTAAACAGATCTTTCCGGTAGGAAGTTTCCCCAGTCTGAACGCAGCCACAGAGCAAGGCCTGTTATATTTCCTTGCAAAGATGGGCACAGGGTCTTCAAAACAGAACAGGTGACTGGGGAGCTCAAGTATGCTTGTTCACTAATTAACCGCAAATGATATACTATGGCTGAAATTCAGTAGTAAGTCACAACTAGAATACACCTATTGAATCATTGGGAATTTCATGAGTCAACAACTATGTATGTGCCACTTATTCAATGGGCCTACTCTAGCTGTGACTTACTACTGGTTTTCAGCTAATATATGCCAATTTGGCTACCAGGTAAGTGAACTTCAGAGCATCTTGATTAGCAAGGAAAAGATTACCATAACTTTCAGAGACGTTTATGTTTAACTGTGCAAAATTACATGTAGATGTGTTAGTTAATGCCTGCAGAATGGAATCAGCTTCCAGAGTAGACATCATTTTCAGCATCAGTTCTGCTTGTTGTTCAAGCCCAACTTCTAAACGGGCATCTAAAGCTTAAGAGAGTAACATAAAATCAGTCTCTAAATTACATCAAATATGACTAAACTATAACGAGCCATTGTAGGCAAAGGCTACACCAGTAACTAAAGAAACAAATATGTATATTAAATACAGTACATGAAATAGTGCACTACAAATAGTTAACCAATTCTTCAATAGACTATCATAAAACATCTCAGATAGAAGGCACTGTATTTTGTGCTATATAGGGGAAAGTAGTTTATAATAAGCTAAAAGACTAAAATGGTTACCATATGATGCATTGTTAATAAGTGATTTATTTATTACTTGGATTTGAGTTAAGTAAACAGCAAATGGCATTTTGTTCTACAGGACATCTGAATATACAGTTGTTCACTTTAGTAACAAGATTGAGTTCATAAACAAAATAATTTCTGGATCAAGGTAAAATGGAATGGTGTTTTAATTGAAGCACAGTATCTTCACCTTATACCGGTAACCCAAAGATATAAATGCTCAGCAAGTCTGTCTTCTGAATCATCTTCCATAATGCTCACATAAACTATATGGCTTTTGAAACTCAATGCCATTTCAAAAAACCCCATACAATATGGAGCTGAAGAAGCAGTCTAAGAATTAGAACTAGTACATCTTCTTGATAAAACACAACTTCTTCAATGTCGTACAGAAAATGCTTATTTCATACAAGCCAATAACCACAATATGATAATCACACTCATAGTCGCTAATAATTCTTCAAGCAAGAAAAAATGAATAATCCGCAAGGCAAGTTGTGCTTACCTTGAGAAACCGATACGCACACAGTTTGTGATCCATTCTTTTCTGTAGTGACTGGTGGTTTTGCCACTGAAATTCCAACACCTCCAATATATGGGTTGTAATTGTATGTACCATAATCAGCACCCCAGTAATCATACCAAGTGCTACTTATAGGCTTTATCAAACAAAAGAAATGAAATATTTATTAGTCTCAATTTTTTCACATATAAGGAATTTAAATGGTATTATAAACTGTACTTTAAAAGTTATACTATATTGAAATGGGAACATATTTTAGTAGGTTATTCAAATAAGAAAATTAACAGAAAGGGTACTCTACATATAGCCTCCAAATAAAATCCAAGTTCACGCATCTACACAGACCTGCTAAAACAGTACATAATCCTTTTGGCCCTGAGGACCGCATCCAATTTTTCTGGGCTGGCGACAACAGACACATGCTCATGCACACACAAGATCACTGGAGCACAAAAGGAAGCTGCTAAAAGGTCCATGACAGAAGAGGTGGCGAAGGCCTCCTCTTCTCTGGTAGGCAGACCACTATTTCTGATACTTGCATACTTCCATTTACAATGGGAAAGCAATGATGCTGGCTGCTTCATGGTTGCTAGAGGAAGAGGCTTTACTTCCTCCTCCTGCCAAGGCTTTATGAACTTTGCTGCTACATGCACTGTTACCAGAATAGATACAAATCAGCCAGTGGGGTGCACAGGGGTTGGAGAATGCCCATCTGGAAGTGCCATGTAAATGAAAAGCTGTGCATTCCTTGAGCTGAGCCAATCCACACAACACATTATATAAGGCCCATGACAAGCAAGTGCTCATTGTGCAGCCAGCCTCATTTTCCTTCTTTGTTGCATAGCTTTCAAATATGGCAGAGTAAGGTGAACTGATGACCTAGACAACTGCAAGACAGGTCTGCTCATGTTTCAACATCAGCTCATTCAGGTATATTGGTTACAATTTAAGACATGATACAGAAAGTTGAAGAAGACAGCCACAAAAGATAACTTGGGGTACATACACAAGGCCTACAATAATCAGCAAAGGCCCTGCTCTAGGTGTCTTCTCACTATGGTACTTGGAAATATGGTCACAAAGTAAACAGCCTTACCTGTAATGCTTCTGCCCAGCTATGGAAAACCCATCAAGCACAGACCTGACTGCCACATATGATATGTTTTCAGAGGTAAAGGCTTGTTTTCCAAAGCTTTTGAAAAACTGAACACCACTCAGAACATTAATATTGGCCAAAATCCTATTGGTGTTTGTGTAACTTGCTCTGGCTAATTGACAAGGTACCAGGGGATGTCTTGGTTGTATACCTGATCATGCATCTGACTGTAACTGACATGTGCACCACCGTCTTGTCAATTAGCTACAGGATGTTATGCAAACCTTACACAAACACCAATAGGATTCCAGCCATTAATATTTCAATTCTTACTTTTAAGGCACTTAAGACATGGCTTTTAGTCTTAACTCAATTTGATCTAAGTTGTTCTGAGACTCTCCTTTGATTAGTCTATATCAGTGGTCCCCAACCTTTTGGGACTGCAGACCGGCTGGGTGGTGCAGGTTGTGCGGGGGTGGTGGTTTCTCACTATCTGAAAAACCTATGGCCAACTAACAAAACTATAAATGTCAACAAGGACTGCCCTAAAGCAGAGTACACATTGCCAATCTCCTAGCCTTATTTAGGAATGAAGACTGTAACACCATTAAAAGAATACTGAAGTGTATGCATTAAGGCACATGCTGCATCTTATAGTTCTCAGCATCCTTCAAACATTCAGACTCAAGTTTTCTATATATTAAATATAGCATTCTATATCACATTAAAAAACTCCATACCTTGAACACTTTTGCAGCAAGAGGATCTTTTTCCAAATCAATATCTAGAGGATCAATATCAACTTCCATGAGGTCTTGCAGTAACTCAAGATCAATTTCTTTATCTTTTTCCAAAGATGACAGAGGTGGAGTCCCTTTAGGTGATTCAAAGTATTTAATATTGCCAAGTATTGCAAAGATCATACTAGATAAGATATAACACATGCTGGATACAGAACTATTCTAAGTGCTTTGCAACTTAAGGACAAATCCAGTCTGCATGATCACAGCACCTGCACACAGTGGGACTTCTGTAATACATAACAAGCCCTGTAATGCATAACAATTTCCCACCCATCCAACCTGGTTTGTGCACGCACACACTGAGTGAACTGGGCAGTCACAGGAAATGGACAATCTGTTTCTGCCTCTTTATTTCTTAGCCACCTTGTGCAGCCAAGGGACATAACCTTTGAATCTGCGCTATACAACAAGGTATATGCTCAGGAAGAACCATATTATTATATTGTCTAAAATTTCCCAAAATTTCCCATGCACTGCACTAAAGTCTGAATTCTTTAATACTGCATGAGAAATGGAAGTTCAAAACACCATGTTTTGGAACTTTAAAATACTGCAAGGCTTCCAACATACAGCGTTTACATTTGGCACCGCTTTCAAGCGCACACACAGATGGCTAGGCTGTCCACTGTATTCTAATGAATAAAATGAAGGGAACTGTGTCAATTAAGTTACAGGCAGCTATGCTCACCCAGAGAAAGATGTACCATAAGTGAGCAAGGATACACAGTGCTTCAGATCCTAAGATAAGGAAGTTCACATAAAAGGTTCCTGTCTCCTCCTCCTCACAATATTCAAGGCTTCTCCAGAAGTTTATGAAAAATCTCCAGAACAATGTAGAAGAGGGCACAGAGTGCTCAAGAAAGAGAACATCCCAGATGAGCCTGGATGATTCCACCTTTTCTCACACTGTGCCTCTTATATTCACTGGCTGAAATCATATTGCTTTGTTACACAAGCAAGACGTAACATTGAGCAACTCCTAGCTGCCAATTAACGTTATCTCTGGGATTTTTCAGGAGCACATGCATCCCTTGGCTTGGCACACACTCAAGAATGTCACCTAGAAGTGACTGAATGTAATTTGTCTTTTGCATCTGTAAAAAGATCAACAGGACTTCATGCATCATTTAAGACCCCCTTGACAATCTTTACAAAAATGCTTTCTGTAGCATACAGGGGGTTTGCCAAGAGGAAGCTATGGTGAGGCTTTTTCTGTTAACCTACTAATCTTACTTCAGAATTCATGTGAAAACCTTTAATATTTTTTAACTGCTGCTACAAAAATTATTTTAAAAATTACAATACTGAGGAAAACCATTTCTAGTTAACAATTTAAAAAGGCTATTTTATCATCTAAATTTTTAGATGGTGAAGGAGGAATACTCAATGAAGTCAAATGAAAAAATTAAGTTACAAGTTAGAGGGAAAATATATTTCAGCTTGCAAAGCAGCTATATTTACCTGTGATGTCATGTGTCAAAGGCTCATCAATAGTTTCCACTAACTGAACTGTCGACTGCTGAAGAGCATCATCAGAGTCTGCAGCTGAAGCCCCTGCTTCTTCTCCCACTGCAGCTTCTTCCATGGCTTCTGCAGCTATTGGAGCTAATAGTTCTCCTGAACATTACAGGGAGAGCAATTAACTTATCAAAAAGCTAACAGAAAACCAACTAATTATCTGTGATCTTCAGCAGAGATATATTAGACAGTGTTTAAGCTCTTTTGAAAATATGGACAGTAGAACCATTTTAGACAATATTTAATTTATATTTATGTTGCTGGTACAATTTATTTACTAAACTATCAAAACATACAGAAAGAACAGTACACCAGTAAACAACAACTACGCTAAAGGCCTGCATCTAGGCCATGAGAACCCCAGGTGTTCTGGCATTTTGTTGTTGTTTAGTCGTTAAGTCGTGTCCGAATCTTCATCATCCCATGGACCAGAGCACGCCAGGTCCTCCTGTCTTCCATTGCCTCCTGGAGTCTGGTCAAATTCATGTTAGTAGCTTCAGTGACACTGTACAACCATCTCATCCTCTGTCATTCCCTTCTCCTCTTGCCTTCATATTTTCCCAACATCAGGATCTTTTCCAGGGAATCTTCTCTTCTCATGAGATGGCCAAAGTATTGGAGCCTCAGCTTCAGGATCCGCCCTTCCAGTGAGCACTCAGGGTTGATTTCTTTCAAAATTGACAGGTTTGTTCTCCTTGCAGTCCAGGGGACTATCAAGAGCCTCTTCCAGCATCACAATTCAAAAGCATCAATTCTTCAGCAATCAACCTTCTTTATGGTCCAGCTCTCACTTCCATACATCGCTATTGGAAAAATCATTGCTTTGACTATGCAGACTTTTGTCAGCAAGGTGATGTCTCTGCTTTTTAAGATGCTGTCTAGGTTTGTCATCGCTTTCCTCCCAAGAAGCAGGCGTCTTTTAATTTCGTGCCTGCTGTCACCATTTGCGGTGATCATGGAGCCCAAGAAAGTAAAATCTGTCACTGCCTCCATATTTTCCCCTTCTATTTGCCAGAAGGTGATGGGACCAATGGTCATGATCTCAGTTTTTTTGATGTTGAGCTTCAGACTGTTTTTTGCACTCTCCTCTTTCACCCTCATTACAAGGTTCTTTAATTCCTCCTCACTTTCTGCCATCAGAGTGGTATCATCTGCATGTCGGAGGTTGTTGGTATTTCTTCCGGCAATCTTAATTCTGGCTTGGGATTCCTCCAGTCCAGCCTTTCGCATGATGTATTCAGCATATAAGTTAAATAAGCAGGGGGACAATATACAGCCTTGTCGTACTCCTTTCCCAATTTTGAACCAATCAGTTGTTCCATATCCAGTTCTAACTGTTGCTTCCTGTCCCACATTATTTCAGGAGATAAATAAGGTGGTCAGGCACTCCCATTTCTTTAAGGACTTGCCATAGTTTGCTGTGGTCCACACAGTCAAAGGCTTTTGCATAGTCAATGAAGCAAAAGTAGATGTTTTTCTGGAACTCTCTGGCTTTCTCCATAATCCAGCGCAGGTTAGCAATTTGGTCTCTGGTTCCTCTGCCCCTTCGAAATCC